ATTGTACTCGTGGATGACTATGATAGGAAGCGTGGTGCAATGGCAGAGATACAGCAACCCTTTGGAGAGGTGTGGTCTCAGATGAAGATCGTACATCCCTATTTCGAGACTGGTGGCCTCTATGATAGTGGTACTATGCATGCTAAGCTTATAATCATAGAACGAGCACAAGCCCTTAGAGTATGCATTAGTAGCAGCAACGTGACTCCTCAAGACTGGGAAGGTGTGAGCCAATGCATTTGGGTTGCTGATTTTAAGCCGGCTAATGATCCCGAGGCACCTGCCAGGAAGAGGGTCAAACCTGATCATACATCCGACTTTGGAGATCAGTTGGCTCGGTTCATCGAGACATTCTTCCGTTCCATTCCAGACTCTTCATCCCTATCGAGCTATTGGGTAAAGGTTTTGACAGGCTCGAGGTTCAATGTGAAGCTACCTAAGGGAGTAGAACTCATTGCTTCAGCACCTGGCTACTGGAAGGGAGACGATAGAGACAACTGGGGTCATATGAGGCTAAGAGCACTACTGTCTGATGTCCACTCGGAGGAGATACTATTCCAATGCAGCTCTATTGGCTTCCTACCCGCCAGTTTCTTGGCCGACCTATCCAAGTCCTTAAATGGCAATATCAGGGTTGCTTGGCCCCTATACGATGTAGCCATGTGGAAAAGGGGTAGCAACTTCCTACGGTTCCCGAGTAGGCATTTTGAAGGGGGACAATTCCCCTTGAATGTAAGGAGCTCCTCCGATTTGGTTCATCCCTAGGGGCCGTCTTTGAGCAGGTTTTGACACCCTTATGGCTGCCATCTGATCGCAAGAAGTATCTATGTCATAGCAAAACTATGGTTAGCCTTCCCAACAGCGACTGGACCTACATGGGTTCACATAACCTATCACAGAGTGCATGGGGTAGACTCGTAAGCTAGCAAGACCCTATGTAGTGGAACAGACATTGCCGGTGTGACTCATTTCAGGTATCGAATGGAACAGCTCTGCAGATAAGCAGTTATGAGCTAGGTGTCTTCATTGCTAAACCCATGAATGCTCATCATCGTGATCATAGCCAACATCCTCGACTCACGCTGCCATTTGTAATGTGGGCGTTATGAGCCCCTCACTCCGTATCTGATAGAGCCCATCGAAGGACCCCAGGTACCACCTCCTAAGGGGCAGTGCTGTAAACCATGGCCCATAGGAGAACTCCCGTGGCTGCCGGACCTCTTCTCTGAACGAGTGTTCTTTACAAGTCCTTCACAATATGATAAGGATTATGATCTGTTGATGAAGTAATAAGTGATGATGTCGGATCGAGGGAATCTAACCCCTCTCTCTACCGGTTGATATTGTACTTTGCCTTGTAGATCTCTTCTAGCGGCGCACAACTGGGCATCATCTCGGGGTCTACATGTTATGGAGAACCCCCAACCATTGGGAGAATGTCTCGCATGCTTACCCGACTCGGGTTTACTCATGGTGAATCTTCGCTTGTGCACATTGCAGGTGGAGGGCGTCACTGCTTTCTCAGCTTAGGTCTTTATCATCCCTACACTGGAACCGTCCTCTGCCGCATCTATAGTGACCGAGTATGCCTGCAAGACGCTACTGCACTCTGATGCTTTGAGTGGAACGTTGGTGTCGCGGGTTTTGGTGCTTGATGCTAGTAGCCCACACTGGCATATACAGCATGTGAGGTGCTTCTACCGTGTCAAGCATCTACCAGCTCTTCTGGTACTTGACAAGGAAGGGAACACCGTACTGGAGGCGTGTGGAGAGAGCGATATCCTACAGATTGAGTCGTTACGGGCAATACAGGAGGAATATAATAACCTTCGATTGTCACAGAATACACAACTCGAGGAGAAAGCCGATTCTTATCAAGAAGCTTGGAAATGGGTAAACTCTCAGGGGTTTAATCTTCTCTGCTTCGATGTTGATGGGACCATAACTACATCAAATATTAATACTACATTGGCCGTTGGCGTGACGGAATTCATCTCTAATATACGTCCTGGAACACGAGTGGCACTTGTCACCAATCAAGGTGGTGTGGGTCTGCGGTACTGGATGGAATCAGGGCATTTCGGTAAACCAGGCAATCTTCCTGATGAAGCGAAGGTATCCTATGGGTTGATGCTGCTTGGAGTATATGTAAACCTCAGGTTCAGACAAGGTTATCGAAGATAAGGGATCAACTCCTTGAAATTAACCCTAGTTTGGCCATCAGGATCTTCGTTGCGTATAGATATCAGGTGATCAGCCTTTCACGTACTATGTTGTTCATTATGTCTATCCCAGAGTAAAGCGGACCCGAGTAGCGGTAAATCTGCTAACTGGGGTCCTTGTCCAGTAGAATCAGCACGAGATGAGAGATGGAGTAAAGAATGGAGGAAGCCGAATCCAGGGATGCTGCAGGCTGCCATGCAATGGGCCGGTGCTTCTCGGTAGTATGCTACGACAGTACTAGCTGGTGTGGTGTAGTGTCTGAGCTGTCGTAGGCTGGGTACCTTGATGGTTGGGGACATGCAATCCGATAAGGACGCTGCCGAAGGTGCTGGTGTAATCTTCCGCTGGGCTCCTGAGTTCTTCATAAAGGGTATCGAGCTCCCGCAAATTGCTGATGTGGGAACTATAGTCGATGAGAAGTTCTCATCGGCAAGCCTCTGAAAATGCCTTTGTAATTGGTGAATACATGTTGGGTTTACATTACAGCTGTTCGCTAGGTTGGATCCACCAGGGGATAGTAAAATAATAGGATTCGGTTGATGAAGCATAGAGGGTTGTGACTCGCCTCCGCTGTCGTCTTCTATGTCTGCATCGTTCTTGGGCTCCTTCGGTCCTACTCT